TGCAGCCCTACTTTAAACCATCACTTCTGGCCAAATATGTATCCACAATAAAATCCATCCCCTGCTGTCCCCTCACATTAAAATCCACCGACATATCGGTCACCTTGAACCACAAAACCAGTCATAAGGGTCAATTTTTCGAAATCGAGATGAATAAATAAGCTTTCCACTGATGTATGGTTTGTTAGGATAGGACAATATTTGGCCAAGATACAACTATTTGAAAATCTGGAATCTGAGCATGCAAAAAAATCTAAATATTAAGAAAATTGCCTTTAAAGCTATACAAATGAAGTTCTCAGCAATGCATATTACTAATCAAAAATTAAGTTTTAATATAGTTACGGTAGGAAATTGACAAAATATCTTCATGGAACATGATCTTTACTTAATATCCTAATGATTTTTGGGCATAAAAGAAAAATAGATCATTTTGACCCATACAATGTATTTTTGGCTATTACTACAAATATACCCGTGCGACTTAAGACTGGTTTTGTGGTCCAGGGTCACATATTTGTTTTGAACTGTTTTTACTTGTAAACAGGTCTTGATCTGTGCGTGTTTCTCTTCTGATTCAGATATGACTTTTTTTTTTTTTAGCTTGAGAAAGCAGTGTTATGAATAGAGGACTTGTGTTTTAGCTGAAAACAATGGTTTGAAGTAAAAACATAGCTTAATGATGGATTTGTTTATTATAAACATGCAGCTGGAGTGGTGTGGATTACTTGTGGATTATTGTGATGTTTTTATCAGCTGTTTGAACTCATTCTGACAGAACCCACTGTAGAGGATCCATTGGTGAGCAAGAGATTTAATACTAAATTTCTTCAAATCTGTTTAGATGAAGAAACAAACTTATCTACATCTCGAATGGCATGAGGGTGAGTAAATTTTCGTTTTTGGGTGAATTATTCCTTACATACTTTTTGCAGCCACTGTATGTTGATTAGTGGGGCATTGACTGGAGACAGACGCATTAGGACACCAAAAACAAATAAAGGGAGGCGCATAGAAGAAAAGTATGAAGGAGAGGGGAAATGAAAGGTCACTGCCTACAAAGTAAGGAGTGTGGTGTCCTTGCTGGGCCTGGGAGTGAAGGAAGCATCTGTGTTGAGGAGTGAAGGTCAGGGATGCTCATGAACCTTGAGGAAAATCTGCATTATTGTAGGTTTGAAGTGGGAGTGTTCATCTCTAAAACACAGCTGAACTGTATTATTCTGTATGTTAATTTCACTGTTAAACTCACCTCAGTTGTTTTCTAAAACTGGCCATTGTGAAGAAAAAATGGAGCTCTTCATCAGAGATGATGGGCTCTTGACGACTGATTGCTCTTCTACACTAAATGACAGCATGTGCAATATGTGCCATTTCTAAAGGTCACTGGCACACCATTGTCCTTTGTGGCCATGAGAAGAGATTTTACTTAATTTATAATTACATATAGTTATATAGCAAAGATTTTCATTTACATTATTCAAAGAATAACCCAACTCTAGTGATAATAAAAATACAATAAAACATCCCAGAAAGACTATGATTTCAAGGAAATGTAGATTGATAGGATATTTGAGAGAAAAAAAGTTTCCTATATTTTGTTTACTGTCATTGTCAACAAATGATTTATAATAAAACCCAAAAAAAAGTACATATCTGTTTTGCCTATGAACTCAAGAAAAAGCCTCATCCTTATGGTGAAAGCAGCCACGGTGGATTTTAGGAACATCTGCATTCTCCAACCTTTACAGCCATTAAGAGGTCATCTTCCACAGCCTCCTATTAATAACCACTTGTCAGCCTTGACTGTCTGCGAGAGGACTTTTTCATCTGAGAGCTGGAACATTGTTAATCTCCTGACTGTCCTTCCAGAGACTCATATGTGCAAGGATAGAAGATGATAAATTAGCTTTCAAAAAATCCTGAATTCTATGATACTTAATGTTATAGCTTGTCCCAGAGATCCATTTTTTTCTAATACAGAGATCCTTCAGTTTTCACCTTAATGGTACAGAGACACTCTTTAGATAATCACACTGATTAGGTTCAAAATGCTTGTGTAACAAGACTAATTCCCCACATGGCTCAGCCTGAAAACATCTGGCTTCTGGAAATGAAGGATTCAAGTCTATTCTGCCATTGATGTAGGCTGTATATGATTCAGAATGGAATTTAGAATGCCTTTTGAATACTACATATTTTTAATGAATTCAAAATGAGGTAGCAAACACAGAATTGTACTTTGAATTTTAACTTAAATTACAGCTTTTTATTTTATCTTAAAAGAACATTTAATTTCCTAGAATTTGTGATGTTTAGATCACATGATTGGTTGTGATATCAATATGTAAAACTGCTCTATCAGCAATTATAATTAAGTACTTTAAGCACTCTCTGCTTTTCATTTTTTCATTAATACAGTGAAAAACAACAGACAGATCATGTGGATTCCCTTGGTGCATTGGTGTGAAAAAGGCAATCAGCCTGAGATCATGACATCAAAACCCTCTTGTGCCACTAAATTGATGTAATAAACTTCCATCCCACTAGCTAAGTGGATTTCAGCAGCAGGATTCGGAGTGCTAAATTGCTAAATCCAAACTGCTCAGTTGTTACGTGGCACATGCAGACATCATCTTAGTCCTCTGTCCTCATTGCATAAACAAATCATTTACATAAACAACTGGAATGAATCAAATAAATATTAATTTTGACTTCTATTGAGCATTTAAACATTTAGCCTACCCAGTCATGCTGAGATAATAAGGAGAGTTTGATTATTACTAAATACCAAGAGGGTTAAATCAGCTCAAACTTCTGCTCTTCCTGGTTTGGTGTAGCACCTGTACATTCAGATCCCATTTTTAAAAACAAGCAATTGACGTTTATTTTAAAAATGTCCCTGAGGTTTATATACAGTAATAGTCTAATTATACTTATATAGTATACAATATTTATAATAGAACAAAACGTATTGTCACTTTGATGTTTTATGTAATCAAAATAATAATGATAATAATAACAACAACATAATAATCCTTCGAATCCAAAAATTTGATAGGGCATCACAACACTATTGCTCATTTATGCTACGTTTATGTCGAAATTTTAATGGCATAACATAGTACATTTAATTTTAAATGTCAGAAAGAGGGTGGAATGGTTATGGAGTATTTTTGTTTTTTGTTTTTTTGGGCAAAAAACTTTACTAACAATATAAGTGGGAAAGAGGGGGGAAATAAGTAAATTTTTTGGTGTGATTCAGATTACAGTTTTATTAAAGCATTTGTCCATTTGTAATCCACACAATGTTTACAGCATCTTGATCGCTTTATTATTGTGTCCATTGTGGAGGGGATGGAGTTTGGTGCTGATCATCTGACCATGATTCCCTTCCTCTTTAATCATTTTCCTTTAATCTTCACCTCAACATGTCTAAATCCTTTCAGGTTCTATTTTTGCCTGGCCTTGTTTTGATCATGACTGGGACACTCAAGTTTATGAATCCCTAATCATGCCACATGTACTTGTTTCTCTCTCTCTCTCTCTCTCTTCCCTTCCCCCTCTGTTTCTGACTCTCTCATTGTTTGAAGTGAAAGATCAGGTCACTCTCTATTGAATCACTGATGAGAAAGACCTGTTTTGAACCATAGACTAATCCGCAGCAAGAATATGGCTTCATTCAGTCTTTTCTTTCACATACTGTACAATAGTACCTGCAGTGACCTGGAACTTCATAATGACTTATTTCATGATTGAGTCTGCCAAAATATGCTCATGTGATGTCACCCTAAAATAAAAAAAAATATATAATATAATTTAATAATAATTTAATTATTACTTAATTATTTCTAATAATAAGTATTATAAATTATTTGTAGTATTTGTTGTAATTTATGCTAAATAAATTCAAAATTAATTGTACTGCACTGCATTACAGCAATGGGAATCACCACTGAGAAAAACGGAATTACAAGGAGAAAAACATTCAAATTGAAATGTGATGCAGTACCTTCACACCACTGTCGTTCACACACACCAGCAAACAATGTTTACTAAACTAAAGCATTGAATGTACTGTAAAGCCCAAGTTACATAATTAAAACAAATTCAACATCTAGTCTGCAATATAAACCGGTAAAAGGTCATTGTTACTGTTTGCTAAGAACAAACAAGCTGGCTCCTGATTTTTTCCCCTCTGTTTGTTAAAGTTGTACACTAAAAGGCAAAAGACCATAAAATTGCAGCATGTTATCTAATTTTGTGCACTTGCATTGCATGGTAATGATTTCTAGTATACTGCTCTCAGAGGTTACATTAAAAGCCTACATCTAAAACTATAGGTAATTTCTTCCTACATAATAGTCATATAAACAAGGTATTATCATATAGTGCAGCTTATAAAAAGAGCTAGCCTGAAAGTCTTTTTTTTTCAGCCAATCTGCTAGGACAATACTCAAAGCCGCCCTGTTGCTATGCAAGTCTCTGTCTCATCACATTTCCATGGTTACAGGGCAACATGGAATTAGAAGCAAACATCAGTGCTCCCTCAGATAGACAAAGAAGTTTTTTTCTCAAAGCAAACTGACTTATCCCTGGTAATGTAACTTAAGGAGTGAGAAACTTAATACAAAGTGAGGCATTAAAGCACATTTCAAATGCTAGAAATATCTTTTATTATTTTCACTGAAATAATGTACATAATATTATTAATAATTGATATTTGTGTCATGATAATATCAATATAGACACCATTATGAGTCTTAAATAATAGTAATTATTGACTATGAGTGTTGATATTATGAAACGAATGAATAATGGCTGAGAGTGAATCCCAGATAACTAAACAATGAATATGCAACAAAAGTTGTGAAATTTGATATTTAACCTTATCATGAATACTTACTGTTACCACTGATCTATGGGAACCATAACAGCAAATTATGGATACATAGATTACATTACACTGATCCAAAGAGCATTTAGATCTGATTTGGCATGGATTTAACATTGAATTAATGCTCTTTTTATTAATAACAAAACTTCATAAGGCCTGATTTGGCTTGTGGGACTAGAAACATGTTTTCCTAGTCATTCCTCAGGGATCTGGCCAGGTAACCTGGCACCCTGATCTACATTATTCCTCGGACTGGAATTGCCACAACTGGGCCTGGTGGTCTCAGCCGTGCTGCTGGTCCTCTGCAGAAACTGAAGAAAGTTTTCCTGGATGGAACCTTCATGACTGGAGGCTCGAAGTTCAACGGGTCTACTGGCGCAACATTTTCTCAGTTTTATCAGTTCCTCGCGGATCTGTCGGTTCAGAAGACCATAGAAGAAGGGATTCACAGCAAACGAGGAGTACGCTAGCCACATGACGGCTTCTTCGATGTCCCCTGGGCTCTGAAGGGGAGTGGTGATGGACATGTGAAGGTGGAAACTGAAGTACGGGAGCCAGCAGATAAGAAACTGGCCTACAATGACGACCAGGGTTATAGCAGCCTTTCTGCCCCCAAAAACTCTCTCAGGAGACAATCTCTGGGGGAGGCTGCGGGTGGTGGTGATGATAGTGGTCTGACTGTTAATGGAATCCGAGAGGCGCTTGGCCTGTTTGGCCGTCCAGGTGGGCATAGGTGCGTGCTGACGGGCTGCCGTTCGTGCGACTTTGTATACATTGCAATATACGGCAAAAATCACAACAGCGGGAACCAAGAAGCAAAGCACGCTGAAGAGAATAGCAAAAACCTTCCTGAGGCGGCTGTGGCTCCAGTGTAAAGAGCAATGGGCCGCTGCAATGGAGCTCTGATTCCCATACGCTGGCCAACCGAGAAGCGTAACCAACGCCAACAGGATGGATTTCACCCAAATGAAGACCATGACACCGAGCGCCAAGTTTAGAGTCATCTTTACCTCATATCGCATAGGATGGACAATGTAGTAGTAGCGTTCAATACTGATGGCGGTCACAGTAAGAATAGAGGCACAGATGAGAAACACATTTAGAAAGATGTAGACTTGGCACTCCAGAACAGTAAATGCTACAGTGCTAAAGAACGGAGAACTAGATACTATCCCGAGAGGCATGAGCAATATAGCGCAAAGTAGGTCAACTGCACAAAGATGACACACGAACACATATTTTTTCATGTGAGGAGCTCGGGCAATGGCCACCATGACTCCGCTGTTGCCCAATAGGGCTGCTAGGTTAAGGGTCACCATGCAAAACAGCCCAACAAGATCCTTAACCTGGGATTCTGAGCGGATGACCTCCTCCATGCTGGGAGGGGTAGGCTTGGTTGTGCTCCGCTGGCCGGACGTGTCATTTGGAGTTGTGAGATTGGTCAGGAGACCCAGCATCAGACCTGGCACGGCTTTCTCCATGCTTCATGGGTTTGAGGTGGAACCAAGCTTCTCCATGCTTAAATGTTGCTTTTTCTTCTGTGTGTCAAGCATTTGTGTTGAAACCATCTCTAAGAAGAAATTAAAAGATCTATTAAAACTGAATTTCATGTGATGTCAGATGTCACACCTCCAAGTTAGGAACCTCTAGACAGATAGAATTACATTTATTCATTTAACATACACATTTAACATAAATGTGATTCACAAATAGAATTATTATATATGCTTATATGTAAATATTTAATTAATATACAAAAACAAATTAATGAATATAAACATCAAAGTGATAGAGTATACACACACACACACATAAATACAGTATATATACAGTATATATATATATATATATATATATATACTGTATATATATCGTTTTTGAAATTACAGTATTTGTTTTCATAAGTTTTGTATATTAATAATTAAATATATAATATATTTAATAAATATTTCTTATAGTTATAAGTCACATTTTTGATAAAAGTATAATTTTTCCTGAAAACTAAATATTAAAGAAAACAAATCCCGCACACTATCAATTAGTGCAAAAAGTATCAAAATATGTTTAATAACAACGTTTCGGTCGCATGACCTTCATCAGGTATCTTCCTTGGAAGATACCTGATGAAGGTAGGAAGATACCTGATGAAGGTCATGCGACCGAAACGTTATTAAACATATTTTGATACATTTTGCACTAATTGGCAGTGTGCGGGATTTGTTTTCTTTATCCTTTAGTTTTGATCTTTTTGGTCTTTGTCTCCTACGCACCTATCAATTGCCGTCAGGTGTGCAGAGATTGATTGTTCATTTACTGAAAACTAAATATAAAAGCTACAATAAAGTAAGCTGTAAATTGTTCAAAATTCTAATTGAATAATCAACAAACTGTTGTGTAATATTTCCAAAAAAAAAGCAATACTGCACATTGCAAACCACAGTCCTTAAGAGGATAAGAGAATATTACTCCGTAATTCATTGTGCAAAGGGTCATTAAGAGGATTGGTGACTGTTTCATAGCCATAATGATTAGTTATGTAAATTTGTAACGCCTCCATCACTCATCATTCAGCTAGAGAGAGATAGAGAGAGAGAGAGAGATCCCCCTGATGTCTCACTAAACATGCATTTATTATCAGAACACAGAGGCTGTTATTACCTACACACACTAAACACTTGAGTGCAAATGAAGAGGGCATTCCCTCGTACAAAGTTAATGAATAAGTTCTGAATGCATATGGGAAATCATCTCATATCAAGAAAGTGCATAGTTTATTTAAATTGTCGGCCACCTCTGTAAGGTTCCAGATCATTCCCAGAACCACAGCGTCAATTTCCTTTTACTTTAGCCTTTATGGAAGATCACCCCTATTTTTGTTTCAACCCACTCACCAGGTCTCTATATATGCTAATTAGGGCAGAACAACATCCTGTCCTTCCTTGTTGGCAACTGACAGATTGCTTTCACCCAACAGGAGCATAATATGTTTTTTTTGCACAAATGGGTTGTTGACCTTCAGGGATCAATAAAGTCAGAGGACAACATGACTGTTGTTATTGTTGATTTTTGTCAGTGGGAGTAATATGAGTCATACCTGATTGTGTGCCGCAGCCTCCCCTCAAAACACCCACCCTACGCGCTGACCTGTCCCCTCTCCCGACCCACAGACCCTCACATGAACTTTTTCTCACTTCATTGGAAATTTGAAAACACATTTTCCACTGAATTAAAATGAATGACCTGCTGTCGCGTCAAATTGTGCTCTGCTGTTATGAATTATCCTCACATGACGCCTCAACACACAATATTCATAACTGGCTGTGGAAGAAGACAATGTGATTTTTCTTACCTGTCAACTTCAGGGACGTTTTTGCTTTTTTGATAATTCTCCAATCAGATTTGTGACATGAACATCTGGACATTTTTCACACGTGTGGAAACTTTCCTCCTGCAGACATTAAAACAAGTGCAGCGCAATCCCACAGGAGGCCAGTGTTTCAACACTCAACATCTCAGGTGATTTCAGTGGAGAACAACCAAAGTGCATCACAAACCCTCAAAAGTATTATCATTCAAGAAAGCCCCGGCTCCAAGGAGCGAAGTTCATACAGGTGTCCCTATGCTGCCCTTTCCATCTAACAAAATCCAGGTGAAGCAGAAAAGATAAGGTCCCACCTGCTCTTCCTGTTTCCAGTGGTGTTGATCAGTATTCACACCACTTAGGCTGGTGTCCGTCAGGATGCTCTTCCACACTGTGTCCGGTGCTGTGAAGGGCTGTGACTGTCACACATTGTGTCTCTGTGATTTTTTTTTCTTCCTCTTTCAAACACATACTCCTCTGTCCTCCAGAGTGGCAGTCATCCCCTGGGTCCTACTGCACCCAATTAAACAAAAAGATACTTTAATGGTCCATTGTAGCTTCACCAAACCATTCATTCATTCACTTAGCACTTGTGAGGATTTGATACATGCTCTTAGACTGACATTTTTCAAATACATTGGCATTCGCACAAACTTATCAACATACTATTTACAGTTTTTCTCAATTGCTTTGGCTCATTTTTCGAAACACTGTAAGTGCAATTGTCAAAACTGTTTGCTGAAACATCAGAACCCTATTGCATGTCTGCAAGTGGTAGTAACTCACCCAAAACATCTAATTCATGCTTCAAAACCTAGTTATTGTGTCAGTGACTTGGTCAATGCCACCAAAATAAAATATATTTTTGTATTGTGTGAGCCACACTGGTCAAAATGTTTAGATGTTTTGTTTTCACCATGGAAATATTTGTTATATGCATTTTCATTTCATATTTGTTATATGCATTTTTTTCTCTACTTTTTTGTTGACAGACTGCTTTCTATACTATACAAGAAGTTTTCTGTGTGTATCACACTGAGCATTTTAGATAAATATTTCAACAGTAGGTAAAAATGTATTGGGAAAGGTCAACACTGTAGTACACAAAAAGAAAAGGATCATTATGTATACAGTACATTTTTTTTTTTTTTTAGAAATGGGTTATATGTAAACTGAAATTTCACCATTGCCTATTCATTTTTACACACTGTTGTCTTCCCCTTACAACACCACCACACATTCTTACATATCTTCCTATTGCTCTTCCACAACATGCAACTTTGAATGTTCACAGTTCACACAACACATTTCTACAGATAAATGTACTGTACAAATAAAAAATTACTGCTGCAGCTACTGCTGTTTAGGGTTGTGAGGTTTGTCCTTGTCAAAAATGGTAGTGATTGTGCTGGACAAACTCTATGCGTCACACTCTGCGTTGGCGAGGAACGATGGAGACGAGGAATAGCGAATACAGTCTTTAATACAATCCAAACACAGGCTACATCCACACTGGAAACGGAAGGAAACACAAGAACATAACGAGTAGAACCGACAGAGACAGACTAGGACTTAAATACAGGGGATGATTGGGGAAACACAGGTGCATGGGATGACTAATCAAACTAATAAGACTGAACGAGGACAGGAACACGACCAAATAAGGAAACACAGGAAGAACTACGGGGGCAAAACGGGTACAAAAGTCTGACATTTCGCCCCCTCCCAGAAGGTGCGTCCTCGCACCGTAGATACAACAGAGGGAGGCATGGGTGGGAACTTGGGAGGAGGCTCAGGAGGAGGACGGGTACCCGGGAGGGGGCCGGCAGACAGAAACCAGGGAGGTGACGAAGGAGGGAGGAGCCAGGAGGGGCTTGGAGCAGGAGGAGCCAAGCTGGACCCAGACAGCCATAACAACGGCCCACGGTGGAGCCGACGGAGGGAGGAGCCATGGAGGAGGAATGACCACCGACTCCAGGGGGCCGACCAACGGCAGCAGAGCAGGTGGCGGAGCCGGAGAGCCAACGAGCCAGGGGGATGCCGAGAATCTGGGGGGCCAGGGTGGAGCCGAGGGCTCTGGCGACTAAGGCGGAGATCCGCGGCGGAGCCGGAGTGACTGAGGACCAAGGTGGAGCTGGCGGGAGGAAGGAGCGACGAGGTGCAGCCGGAGGAGCGGAGTCCTGAGGCGATGGTGGGTCGACGCCCGACCAAGGCGGAGCCGAGGGACGAAGGAGCCCGGTGGAGCTGGTGGATCGACGGGTGACGGTGGAGGCGAGGGAGCTAGGAGCCGAGGTGGAGCCGCTGGGTCTACGGGCCGAGGCGGAGTCCGGGCCTCAGAGGCTGGAGGCGGAGGAGAGGGATGCTCCAGCTATGGCGACGATGGAAGATGGCAGTCCCGCGGCGCTCGCACCGTATTGATGGTGGGCGAAATCCTCTCGAGGACCATCTTCGGACAACGCCGCTCTGTACGCGGTGTTTAAACTTGTGTCGTAGAACGCACAGAGCGCATCGTCCGGGTAGCTGGTGGTGTTAGCTAGCAGCTGGAACAGTCTAGTATGGTCCTCGAGCGATCGCTCCCCCTGCTCCAGCAGGAGGAGGAGGAACTCCGGGCGGACGAGGGGATCCATAAGGGCACACAACGGAAAAAAAAGACTGAAGGAAAAACGAGAAAACAATCAAAGAGGAAAACACGGAGGTAATGATGTAGGTCAGTCGGTTCTTCTGTTACACTCTCCGTTGGCGAGGAACGATGGAGATGAGGAATAACGAATACAGTCTTTAATACAATCTAAACACAGGGTACATCCACACTGGAAACGGAAGGAAACACACGAACATAACGAGTAGAACCGACAGAGACAGACTGCACAGACTAGGACTTAAATACAGGTGATGATTGTGGAAGCACAGGTGCATGGGATGACCAATCAAACTAATAAGACTGACCGAGGACAAGAACAAGACCAAATAAGGAAACACAGGAAGAACTACGGGGGCAAAACAGGTACAAAAGTCTGACAATATGCTTCCGAACTTGATTGATTGGCAAGATTGCGATCCCCATTTCATTATTTGTTGGGTTGCAAAGGGGCAGAAATTTTCCAGTGAAAATTACAATCATTCCATGTCTGATATTTATGGAATTTACATGCTTGTCTGATAGATTTTGATAATTGAATGGATCATTTTGCATGTGATGGCTCACATGATGAAAGAACGTTTAGAAGTTGTGAAGAGTTTGACAATTTCACTGAGAATCAACTCATCTGTTTTGATCAATGAGCCATGTGCATTTAATTATTGTGCACATTTTAGACAATTGCACACATGCCAAAACACAGACAATTTGCTTGCAAATCTGCAAATCTGAACAAGAAACAAATTGTTCAGACATCTGAACGCATTGTTTTGAGAAAAAAAAAACTAATTTAAGAACTGATCCAAAGCGATTGAGAAAAACTGCAATATTACCTCATGGAACCTAATTATTACCTAATTAATTTAGTAATAAATGTTTATATTCATTCATTTATTTAGTGAATTCTGTGACTCTATATGTCGGCTATATCTTATAGAAGATATCCTGGACCATTCAAAAAAATTATTCAATAGACCATTCACAAAAAAAAAAAAAAATCAGTGTTTGGATGTATTTACTTACAGAAAGAAAGACATAGTTTGCAATAATCATCAGTGTTTGATTTTTCATTTAGTTTCTTATACTTAAATGTCAGTTTCAGCGAATTTTCAAAGCAGAGAGATTTAAAGAGAAGACATAGCTTGTTATTAAATATATTGGGGAGACAAGTTGCCCCAAAAACACATTAATGTAAAAACCAAGTAGGTTGGAAATGTATATATTTATAAAATATGAAGTAAACACAATGTAAACACAAATAGTTTTCTAAATTCTACAACATGGTTTACAAAAGTTTGGTTTATGTGTGCTTGAGATATGAAATCTGTGACAAAATGCTAAATAGTGCATTAAATGGTTATTAAATATGCAGGCTTGTCTATAATGCAGTATAATACTGTATAATTCTATTTGTAGGTTGTATTAAGTGGGCATGTGTGATAATTGTGATTAAAGAATGTGCGCTAAGACTGTCTTTGTACTGCTGTCCACTTCATCTGAGTGATTATAAATGCTCCTATAACGTCTAGAAAAGATTCATTTATATAACAGAAATCTAATTAAAACCATTGTAAACAGTTTTACTGATTGCATAGATACAGTTCTGTGGATCTCATAGCATAGAAATGTTTAATGTAAGTAGTTTAAAAAAAAGAGACATCTACTGGTCATGAGGAGAACACAACAGTGCAACTATATATTTATTTATTATGTTCAGATTAACCCACATCAACATTTACAATACAATTTTACTTCAAAGCTCACCATAACATATCAGAGAAAAAACTATATAATAGATATTTGGACATATATCTATTGTCTTTGTAGTGCAATATAATTGAATAAAAAGCTTTAAACAAATGTTTGATAAAGCAAACATCTGACCAAACAAAAATGTCTATAAAGGGCTATATTAGCATTGTACATCCTTCATAATCCGTGCTTGTCAGCAATGTTTGAGCAGCTTGCATGCACATAACTGCATGAATTAGTCTAAATTTAACTTGAATGAGGAACAACAAAAAGAAATTATAATTTTAGAAAGAATATCATTTAAAAGAAATTAATTTAGACAATTTGGCTTTAATCACACTTTAGAAGTATTTTTATTTTTTAGAAGTATTTTAATACTCTTATCCTGTATAAAATAAGGGTATTTAATTTGGGGGGAAAAAATCCCTCTTAATTTGGGCCTTTTTTCATCTTTATTTTTTATCAAATTGAACACTGATTCAACATTTTTTCAAATGCTTAAAAGTGAACATTTACTTATGACAGAACAGAAACCCATAGTTATGTTTCTTTCTAATATGAAAAACATGCCAGTTACAGAAGAGTAATGATAAGAAGACATTCAAACCTCAATCGGAGAGAAGGCAAAATGAGAAAAACATACTGTAATGGCTATATTGACCAAGTTTACAGTACATAATAAAGGTGCAATGAAGTTATTAAATATTTATTAGACTTTCCGACTCAATAAATAGAGGAACCGTCAAATTAACATTGCTAAACTGTATTACTGCCACACAAAAATCACAATTTAACATTCAACTTAACAAAATAACAATAATGTTAATAATAACAAAATTATTATAAAATAACAACGATTATAACGGAACATTCAACGCTTTATAAGTGAGAGTGAAACCACGTAGCAGAAGTGACATTTATAAGTGGTTATATATGCATAACTGTAAGTGTATACAGTTCCAGGTTTTCAAATCAGCTCCAAGAACTGAACTTCAATTCCAGGAGGTATCGGATGCGACACTGGCTTTCCTCATAGATGAGGTACTCACTGTTGAAGAAGGAACTTCCCTGGTACTGCTGTTGTTTTATGACTTTTCCCTGAGGAACTGCCACCTTTTTACCATCCAACTCAATGAAGACATCTTTTGAGGGATCTGAACAAAAAAAGAAAAAAATTAAAGCAGCTAAATGTTATGCAGAATTTAACATACTGTACATGCGTAAAAAGAGAAATGAGGAATGATTTTTGATTGTAAGTGGAAAAACCTGGTTCTTGGCTTCCACGTGCAACTACGCTGTCATAGCCAGCGGGAGCCTTCCTTAGGCTGGAATCATCCTGCGTGATGGTGTACTCTTTTCCCAAAGCAACTTCATTTAGAAACATGATGCCAATGTTGTTGGATGGACACACTGAAAACACAAAAAGAAAAAAGAAAAATTTAGTGATAAAAAGTGCCTTTTAGTAACGTCTACCACAATTACCAAACAATCTCAGCCATTGTGTTGCCATGTTGTATCTAATTAAACTTTACATGTGTTTATATAGTGCTTTTTTATTTGAAGTCTATACTGATGCAAACAAGGTCCCGTTCCTCACCATAGCCAGCTGATTTGATGTTTTCAGAAGCAAAATAGACTCCCCTGCCCACACGTCCACCAGAATGGGGCATAATGCGAAGGCCGCTCTTCAGAATGGCTGCGACCACTGCCACATTTGTTCCATGCCAAAGCAGCTTCCGGTTCTCCAATGCATAATTTTCCCTGAAGCGCTCAGCCTACACAACCAAATGCGCACATGCACGCACACACAAAGGATTTAATTAGGGGAAGAAGACTTGGTAATGAACAGAATTCCGAACACCCACTGAGGCCCAGTGCTTACTGCTGGTTTGAAATGAAATTAGGAATCTAATAGGCATCTAAAAGGAGTTCAAATAGAAAAACATTACCATGCATTTAAACGGTAAGATTTTTTTGTACAGTTACAATTTTACTGTTTGCTTTAATAACGCTTAACATTGCGTAAGCTTTAAACTTGATTTACGCAATACTATTCACCTCTGTATCTCTGTCAACTTCCCAGACATCCACCAAAGTGAGTCCTTTTCTTCCAGTGGCATTCAAGTACTTCTCAATAATCTTAAGAGAGAGAAAAAATTTCTGAGATTGCTGCACTGCATTTCAAACCACAACTCAATTTAGTAAATGCCCATAATTTAAATCCTAAAGATTTTAATAACTTAAAAGGTTAAATATATACCATAACATGACATGATAAATATTTAACATCATTGACAATGTGTTCAATATGTATTCATGTCTTCAGTAAGAATATGTGATTTTTCATTTAAATTTGGAAATAAACTGCAAAAGTTATTGTCCACTCTGTTATGATGACTACTGTGCATTCAAATGAAAGCTGGAAAATTTAAAATCCAGTTTCCAATCTGATATGGTCAACCTCAATATGTCCACACTGCAAGCTGAAAATTGAAAAAAAAAAAAAAAAAAGTATAATTTTGCAATATTTCTAGGTCATTCTGTAGTTAACGGTCTAAAAATCTTGCTTATTAAACCTCTTTAAACTTTTCAGTATTATGCTAGTAACATACACTGTATAATTTTTATTTATTTTTTTTACTTTATTTACAGATTTAAATTAGATTTTGAACTCCAGAATTACTGTGCAGACTGTATAGATTTCTGTGCATGCAAACCTTAAATTCCTTTGACTTTTTATCCATTAAGCTTAGCTTGCATTTCAGAGACTGGTAATTTTGGTCAAATGGATGTGGCACTGTGTCCTTCATTTCTTCTTTGGCTTTCTCGGATTCAGCTTTAAGACTCTGGGCAATCTCGATGTCTGCAAGAACCTAAAAGGTACAAGCATAATAGGGAAGTTTGGATTTTGGTAATTCTTATCCAGATGATAAAGCACTTTACATTGGTCATTCATCTAACACACAAGATCAATGTGTTTTTGTAGCCAATACTTTTTTGGGCTATGTATGATTTGACTAACAAATAACCTTCTCTGACTAATACAGTAGAAAGTGTGACAACTAGGCACGATTTAATAAAACTCGGTACACAGTAACTGTTGTGATTCTCACCAAAAGCATCTCCTTCTTGCCCTGAAGGACAGAATCATCAGAGATGATAGGTGGTCTGTTGCGGCCAAAGTTATGAGGAATTATGGTGAAGAATTTGCTGGTGAGTTCTTCTAACTTGTTCCGTTCCCCCTTCTTTATTGCAGCTTCAATCAGCTCCAAAGCCTCAAAGCCTTTGGCTATCTGCTGCTTGCTGAGTTTCCCCAAGGGCATCTTCTTAATATCTGACAGAGAAATATGCGACACATGAAACTCCTCCACAAAAATGAATCTTATTTAATGTTACAGATAGGACTCAGAAAAGTGGTAGACAGGACTCAAAAAGGCAGCAAAGTCACATCTTCAGTTCACAAACACTGCCAAAACTCCCCTGTGGCCTTCAGAAACATGTAAAATGTGAGTGATCGGCAGTCTTCATAGAGTTTTAAAAGATATAACTTATTTTTCTCAGCTATCAAAAAGAACCACAATAACAAGGCTATTGAAAGGAACAGAAGAACTGGGACACAATAATTCAAAACTAACCCAAGTTCATGCTGGTCATGGCTTCTTTGAACATGTCGTTGTTGAAGATGAATCGGATGAGTCTTTGAGTTGCCTCATCCAATGTACAAGGCAGAACATGTTGTTCAGTTTTCACCTTCACATCTCCACCATCTACAGTGTCCACCTGAATGAAACAAAATATTAGAAATGGTGTTATTCCATTTCGGTGTTATTCTTTTGAAAACTTCAAGGACTTCAAAGACAAACAGGCTAAATACCTTCACTTCTGCATCCTGGTCCCCATCTACCTCTATCAATGTGTATTTTCCAGAATGCGAGACAAAGTTTTCACGATCGCTCCAATTATTCTTGGTCTTATCTTTGAATTTCTTTTCAAAATTCTTAATGGCTGCATCAACGGTAGATGGACCGGCTAAATTGTTCTGGCCTGACTCTCCCTGAAAACAGTGAAAGACAGCAAAAATGAGTCATCTATTAGATGCTACAAGTAGGCCTGTCACGATAACAACTTTTTGTTGTGCGATATATTGCCCCAGAAATAATTGCGATAAGTGATATTATTGTAATTTTAAAGACCATTTTATGCCACTGAATATATAATCATAATGTAACAGCATAATAATGCAAGAAGGCCTACACACTTCCAAATGACAACAAACTATAGAATATTTAGATCATGGAAATTAAATATCAAAATATTAGATACCTTAAAAAACCTGAATAAATAGTAAATAAACAAAAAGTGCAAAGTAGAAAAAAAGAAAAATGCACAAAGAACTTGTATGGAGATTTTTCCATCTACAGATTTTTCCCAGACCTTCTTTTCTCTATAAAATAAGGGTGCACACTATTGCTGAAAAACACAATCACTACTCAGCAGTCAGATGTCCGTATGCACAAAGACACAGATCCCTAAACAAG